AACCCCGGCCCCGACCCCGGACCCCTGACCCCGGACTCCGGACCCCCTATCCTGGACCCTGGACCCCAGACCTCTGACCCCAACCCCGACACCCTGACCTCAGCCCCAAAGACTTGCCGTTCTCCCAGAGAACGTGGACTTTTGTGTGACAAAAGGCGGCTCCCCAGCCTGGTTTCCCTGTGACCCCATAGTGGGGCTGGACCAGGGCCATAGAGGGCAATAAAGACCTCTGGGTACACCCTGGTCCCCCTTGGCTATTGTCTGACATCAGCCCCGAGGGAGGTGGGCCCCTCAGACCCCAGGGATCCCAGCCTCCACCCCAGCCAGTGGCGGGCCGGCCACAGATCCCCTGTACCTCCAGCTCTTGGTGGGCCTCTCTCCCCAACTCCTGGAATTCCTGACACCACCCATGAGGCCCCAGCTCCAAATCTCAAGTTGAAGGGTGATGGGGGGGTCCTAGCTAAGCCTCTCAGTTGCAAGGGACTCAAACCTAACGAAAGCCGTCGGTCAGCAAAGAGGTTTTGTGAGCTTCAAGAACAGAGACGCCGGCCAGGCGCGGTGGCTCACGTCTGTCATCCCAGCACTTTGGGAGGCCAAGGTGGGCAGATCATGAGGTCAAGAGATCGAGACTAGCCTGGCCAACATGGTGAAACCCCATCTCTACTAAGAAAAATACCAGTATTAGCTGGCCGTGGTGTTGGCGTGCCTGTGGTCCCAGCTACTCCAGACGCTGAGGCAGGAGAATCGCTTGAACTGGGGAGGAGGAGGCTGCAGTGCGCCGAGATGGTGCTGCTGCACTCCAGCCCGGGCAACAAAGCCTCAGTCTAAAAAAAAAAAAAAAAAAAAAAAAAAAAAGGAGATGTCCCGGGGTAGGTGTATGGCTTCAGGTGTGGCTGGATCCAGGTGCTTCCATTTTCAGACATGTGACTCTCTTTATCTCAGGGTCCTTGGATTCCCCAGGGGGTGGCACTCATGGGCAGGGTAGCCACAGGGCTCCTGGCCAATGTCCCCCAGCAGCACAGCAAGTAGAATCAGAATCACCCCTTACTTCCTGCCACAGTCAAAGCCTGGCTATCCCTGGAGGCCAGGAGCCTGGGCCTTCCTTCCCCACCCCAAGCCCTCTTGTCCACTCCACTGGAGCCCAGGTCTCAACTTCCGCCCCCAGTCCACCCTCTGGAGTCTGCTTTTGGCACCCTCACCCTGACCCCCACCCTGACCCTGACCCACAGCAGGAGTGAGGACAGGACTCCCTGTAGTCCCAGCTTCTGCCCTGCCCGGCTGTGATGAGGGACCAGTGGGGCAGGATCCCGAGGGCTGGAGCCCACCAGTTGGTGGAGGCGGGGCAGGGTGTGATAGGGCCTCTTGGTGGGGGTGGATCTCCTCATAGACCCCCCATCCTGAAGAACCCCAAGGGTCACGCCCTCTGCCCCGCCCTTGCAACAGCAGCCCCACCCATTCCTAGGTGGGTGCCCTGGGGGCTTTGCGCTGGTCTCACCCACCCTCCTGCTTCCTCTGTCCACAGGCTGGAGGGGCAGGGTAGAGCCCCAAGGCTAATTCCGCCCTCCCAGGGAAACCCTGATTTCATCCTCTTAGGGGACTCTAGAGCGGATTACCGCGCACCTGCTGTCCCGCAGGCCTCCCTGGACAGGCAGGGGTGTGAGCGCGCCTTGTGTTGCAGTCCCCGAAGGCGGTGCCAGCCCTGTTCCCACCCTCCTGTGCTTCTTCAAGGTTCTCAGGCTAAAAGTCAAAGTGATAACCACCGGCCCTGCCTGGCCTCCCCGTCACCTCCTTCCTTCACCTCCTCACTCTGCTCCAGCCACACGGGCCTCCCCTCCGTTCCTCCAATGCACCAGGCATGGTCCTGCCCCAGGGCCTTTGCACAGGCTGCGCCTCTGCCCAGCTCCCTTTCCCCTAGACCTCCCGCCTGCCCCCGGCCTCCACACCAGCCTCCCCTCCTCCAAAACTCCCCGGTAAAACGGCAGCCCCACCACACTCCCCGTCTGCCCTTCCTGTTTCTTTTTGTCCCCATCACTGATCACTGAAGTCTTACGTTTTAGGTTTGCTTTTTTATTTATTGGTTTTGAGTCAGGGTCTGGCTGGGCGGCCCGGGCTGGAGTGCAGCGGCGTGATCACAGCTCACTGCAGCCTCGACCTTCGGGGCCCCAGCCATCCTCCTGCCTCAGCTTCTGGGGTAGCTGGGATGACAGGTGTGCTCCACCCCACCCGGCAAATTTCAGAAAGTGTCGTGGAGACAGGGTCTTGCAGTGTCACCCAGGCTGGTCTCCAGCTCTTGGGCTCAAGCGATCCTCCCGCCTCGGCCTCCCGAAGCACTGGGATTACCGGCATGAGCCGCTGCGCCGCGCCTGGTTTAGCTTTTAAAGAGCACATCTTTCTTGTGCTGACTGCCGTGTCCCGAGTGACCAGTGCACGGTAATGCTGGGTGGTGGCTGGACGTTGGGCCTCAGGACTGGTGTGAGGTGCCGCCTGGAGATGGGGTGTCCCGGTGACCCAGGAACGATCTGGGAGCCTGGGCTGGAGGCGGGGAGGGTGGCCGCCGCAGCTCCTACCCTGGCCTGGGAGGTGGCCCTGCCCCAGGCTGTCCCGTCCTGTGGCTCCGGCCTCTCCTGCTGCCCTACGACCGGGGTGGACAGAGCAGATGCTGGCCGTGCCCCTGCGGGACTGGGGGACACGCACAGGGCCTGGAGACGGTGGGGACGTGGGGAGCAGGGGCTGACAATGACGACACGGCCTCAGCCTCGCCTGCCTCTGCATGAGGGTCCCACCAGTGGCCCGGGACCCACCCTCCCTCCAGAACCTGCCGCCGTGCCTCGGATGGTGGGAACGGGGATCAGTCTGAAAGGCAGCTCCACCCACTCCTGGCCATGCAACCGCGGGGACCTGGCTTCCTGCCTGAGCCCCGCTTTCCCGCTCTGTAGAGTGGGCCGACAGCCGTGCCTGAGGTCCAGGGCGGACTGGAGGGGGGGCACTGGCACAGTGGGCACACGGTGAGTGGAGGCCAGGCTTGCCAGAGCTGCTGTTACTTGTCATCTCCTGGGGACAGGGAGCCCTGGAGAGCAGGCGTCTCTGCTGACGGGGATTAGGGGCAGGCAGAGAGATTTAGACTCATGTCACAGAGTCATCAGCCCAGCCACCCACAGCCTCCCAGCCCGGGAATCTCGGACGCGCCTATGCCCACTTAACAGACGGGGAGACTGAGGCCCGAGGAGGGGAGGAGGGCCCTGCCCCAGGCCTGGGAATGCTCAGAACATCTCCTGCCTGACACTCAGGGCCCGTCCGCTGCCAGCAGGATGGGGGGTGGTGGGTGGGGGGTGGTGGGTGGGGGATGGGGACCGGGCCGGGGGCCGGAGACCCAGCAGGCTGTCCCTCTGGTCCCGTTCCCCAGTGATGGCAGGTCTGACCATGGTTGCTCCGTGACCTCGGCCTAGCCCAAGGCGTGGTGGCTGTCACCAGGGCACGTCCCCAGCTCTCGGGTGGGGCTGAGGAGGGGCCTGGGAGGGCGCAGGCTCAGGCTGGCGGCCAGGCCCTGTCCAGGGGCTGCGGGTGCTCCTTCGCCAGCAGCCGCAGAGACGCCTCCTCCAGGGCGAAGCCGTCCGCGAAGGGGGGACCAAAGGCGTGGGGCGAGAAGGACGCTTGCAGCCCCGGGCCCGGGCCCAGGAGGCGGGGCAGGCCGGGCACAGCCGGCGGTCCGGGGCCCAGCCAGGGCTCCAGGGGCAGCGGCACGGCCGGGGGGCAGGCGAACGGCAGCGCTGGGGCCTCGGGGAGTCTCGGGGCTGTCACGGCGCCTGAGCCCGACTCCAGCCGCTCCTGGCGCCGCCACTTGGCCCGGCGGTTCTGGAACCACACCTAGAGGGTGCCCGAGGGTGCTGTGAGCTCAGTCCCTCCCTGCCACTCCTTGGAGCCTCTCTGCACACCCCAGCCCCGGGGGTTCTGCCGCCCGTCTGACCCGACTCCCACCTGCTCTTTCACTGTTCTGCCCCAAACGACGAGCCTGAAAAGGATCCGGCCCCTCCCGACCGTGCCCTAAGCGCAGGCTCCCCTTGAACTCCTCACTCCCCTCCACAGTCTCCCGTGGCCCTCAGCAAGAAGCCTGAGCTGCCCAACTCGGCATTCAAGGCCTTCAAAAGCGCCGTTACCCGCCATTCTCTGCCTCCTCCTTCACCCACCTCACACTCAGCTCAAGGGAAACGCCTCCAACTTATGCCCTCCACATCTTTGCACACACTGTTTGGGAAACCTAGAAAAATGCCGTTTCCTTCCCAGCTGGCATACTCCTACTCAAACGTCAAAACCTCAGCTCCCACACCCCCTCCTCCAGGAAGCCTTCCCTGAGCTTCTCTTCTGCTCAGGCACCGGGAGGGTCAGGATCTCACTTCACCTCCCTCCCTAGGTGGTGGGAGATGTTGGGGGGGTGCCCTCACCTGTACCCGCACCTCAGGCAGGTGCACCTTGGCCGCCAGCTCCTCGCGGCTGTACACATCCGGGTAGTGGGAGGCCTCGAACGCCCGCTCCAGCTGGTGCAGCTGGTAGGTGGTGAAGGTCGTGCGGTTCCTCCGGTGTTTCTTCTTGGGGGCCTCCTCGCCCGGCCCCAGACCCCCACCCTCGGCCACTGGCCCCTCGCCCGGGCTCAGGAACATGGCTCCCACCTGGAGGGATGGCAGCGGGACAGATGGCGGGGAGGCGGCCAGGGTCACTGCGGGCAGGGACAGGGCGGGGGAGCCCCAGGCTTGCCTCCCGGCTCTGGGGAAATCTGCTCCCTCCACTGGGGCCGGCATGGGCTCCACATTCCCGGCTGGCCTCCTGGGCTTGGGGGTCTCCCCCTGGACCTCTGTCTGCTCTTCCTTCTCTCTGTGTGTGTCACTGTCCCTGTTTTCTCTTCCCCTCTCTGTGACTGTCATGGCCTGTGTGTGTGTGTGTGTGTGTGTGTGTGTGTGTGGTGGGGGGGTAGAGGATGCCCCACCCAGGAGGGCAGGATCTCTCCCTCGTCCTAAGCCCTACACCCTGGGGGGATCTCTGCCCCCACCACCTCCCACCCAGGCCCACCAGTGCCTGTCCCACACTCACCGCCCACGGCAGCCCCTCCGTCTATCTCCACGGGGCACCTGCCCCGGCGGCCCGGCGCCGCGTCTGCCAGGTTGGGGTTGGGGGAGGGGGTGAGGATTAGCTCCAGGTGCTTAATTGACGCGGCCCCTCCCGCTCCGACTCGGGCTGTTCTGAGCCACGAGGGAGGGCAGGTGGGCGGAGGGCTGGGCTCTGAGGCGTGGCGGGGGAGATCGTCTGCCAGGCTCCACTGCCCCTCGCCATAGGATGCCAACGGCCTCTCCCTCTCTGGGCCTCAGTTTCCCTGACTGTAAAACTGCCACAATAGGACCTACCCTGGGGGGTATTTCACTTTCTCAGAGCATTGCACAGGGATTGGCATACAGGGGGCACTTAATGAATGCCCACCATTCATATTGTTTTCGGCCGGGGGCAGAAAAAGGGGGCTTAAGACTCACAGATGTCAGAGGGGGTTGGGGAAGCTGAGTTCCCAGAGGTGAAGGCACTGCAGTTGGTTCCTCTGGACACAAGGGGCAGGAGCCCTTTTAGCTGGGTCTTGAGGTATGAATAGAAGTTCACCATTCACAGCTTGGCTCGGTGCCTCACACCTGTTATCCCAGCATTTTGGGAGGCCAAGGCGGGTGGATCACCTGAGGTCAAGAGTTTGAGACCAGCCTCGCCAACATGGCAAAACCCTGTCTACTAAAAATACAAAAATTATCCAAGCGTGGTGGCAGGCACCTGTGATCCCAGCTACTTGGGAGGCTGAGGCAGGAGAATCGCTTGAACCTGGGGGAGGTGGAGGTTGCAGTGAGCTGAGATTGCACCACTGCACTACAGCCTGGGCAAGAGTTAAACTCCATCTCAAAAAAAAAAAAAGTTCACTATTTATGCCAATAAACATTTATTGAGCACTTACTGTGTACCAGGTACTGCTCACAGCAGTAGTGACCAAAACAGACATCACGGAGCAGAGTGTCTAGCAGGACAGACAAAGTTGTTAAAATGCAGAGTGTGTCCAGTGTCCACGAGCCTGGAGAGAAAACCCACAGGGGGAAGGGCATGTGGGGCAAGATGGGTTGCTATTTAATTTAGGTTGTTTTTTGTTTTTTGTTTGAGATGGAGTCTTGCTCTGTCCCCCAGGCTGGAGTGCAGTGGTGAGATCTCAGCTCACTGCAACATCCGCCTTCCAGGTTCCAGCGATTCTCCTGCCTCACCCTCCTGAGTAGCTGGGATTACAGGTGTGCACCACCACACCTGACTAAATTTTGTATTTTTAGTAGAGATGGGAGTTCACCATATTGGCCAGGCTGGTCTCGAACTCCTGACCTCATGATCCACCTGCCTTGGCCTCCCAAAGTGCTTGGATTACAGGTGTGAGCCACCGCACCCGGCCTATTTTTGTGTTTTTGAGACTGGGTCTCCGTCTATCGCCCAGGCTGGAGTGCAGTGGTGCAGTCTCGGCTCACTGCTACCTCCGCCTCCTGGGTTCAAGCGATTCTCCTGCCTCAGCCTCCCCAGTAGCTGGGATTACAGGTGCATGCCACCACACCCGGCTAATTTTTATATTTTCACTAGAGACAGGTTTCACCGTGTTGCCCAGGCTGGTCTTGAACTCCCAACCTCAGGTGATCTGCCTGCCTTGGCCTCCCGAAATGCTGGGATTCCAGGTGTGAGCCACCACTGCTGGCCAGGTTGCTATGTTAAGGAAGGTGGTGAGAATGGAAGATGGGGCGCAAACCGCAGGTTGTAGACACGTTGGGTGTGAAGTTCGCGGTGCTGGGGAGCCATGGGAGGCTGTGGAGCCGGGATACAGCGGCATCTTATACAAACATCGGTGAAGAGCAGCTGAGACACCTGGGGCAGGCGCCAGGCAGGTGGGGCTGCAGGGCCTGGTCAGGGCAAGGGCCGGGGCGGTGGGGAGGACAGAAGGGAGTGGGGAGTGATTCCAGAGGAAGGAAGTTTGGAAGGGGCAGGGTGTGGGCGTGGGGGGGCAAGGGCAATACCCAGGCCCCTTCTGGGCTGTGAGGTGGGACTGTGTCGGAAGCAGACGCCTCAGAGGTGGAGCGGGCTCCTCCGGGAAGCCCCAGAGACCAGGATCCCCCAAGTCCAAAGAGCCAGGAGGCTGGAGCTCAGGCAGGGGAGGGCCCTAAGCACAGAGAGGAGGGGCCTGCCGGGACGTCGGGAAGCAGAGATGAGGGGAGGCCTGATTTAGTGACACGGAGGTTGGGGGGAGGTGACTGTGGTGGAGTGAGGGGGAGCCCCAGGCCTGCGGATGGCCCCAGTGAAGTAGAGATCCTTCTGGAATGTTGGCATGGTGGCTTTGAAGAAAGAGAACCACATAAAGAAAGAGACAGAGGAAGGCATCACACACACAACACACACACACACACAAACATACACACACACACAAACACACATACACACACATACACATACACATACACGCACACACACACACACACATACACGCACACACACACTCGAGAAATCAGGTGCCCAGGCCCCAGAGGAGTCCGGGTTGGACCCCAGGGAGCAGGTGGCTTTGGCCCAGGACTGGCTGTGGCCGCCCCATCCCTGGAGCCAAGTTCAGGTGGGCAAGGTGAGGAGGGACACAGGTTCAGGCCCAGGCCACAGGGGCAGCTGCAGCTTGTGAGGCTCCCCTGGCCTCAGTTTCCCATCAGCACGGTGGGCCCGCCAGGCTATGTGTCTGGGGCGGAGCCAGGCCTGTGGCTGCTGCAGGGACAGGGCTGGGGGGAGGGGAGATGTAATTCCCCGACGGCTTCTTCAGGAGCTGCTTCAGGTCTCGGGCCGCAATTAACTAATTGGCCAGGTGGGTTAAGAGGCCGAAGGAAGGATTCGGCATGAGGAGCAGGGGGCTTTGGGCGACTTAGCCGGACAGGCAGAAGCCGCAGACGCTGTGTCAGCTTAGAGGGCCGGATTAGGAGCGTGGGCCAAGCGGGCAGGGCCACGGGGACAGGTGCTTCCCTGCCTCGGATTAGCCAGGGGCCCTTCCAGACTCCACCCTTCAATTTTCCCCCAGAAAGAACCACTAACCTGCTTCAGGTGCTGCTGAGGGAAGTGAGGCCGAAGGGCATGCAGGGCTTTAAGGGGCCACATAGGAGGTCGGCGTGACCTTGGGACATTTCTGTCTCAGCTCAGGCTCTGCTTGGGCAAGATGGGAGGGTGGCCTGGGAGCCCTGGGGTGGGGGCTGTGCCCAGCCTGGCCAGAGACCTCTCTCTGTGTATCCTCAAAGGCTGGCTTCATGGGAAACTCAGCTGAGAGCCCAGCAATAATGGAGTGCCAGCTGTATGCCTGCCTTCTAGGTGCCCCTCTCTTCACCGCTGTGGGTGCTCGGGGCCCTCACGCCCCTCTGGGAAAAGGTGCCTGTTGGCTGGAGGAGGCTGCTGAGGCCCAGAGAGGGAAAAAACCCTTGTCTGCCCAGGACTTTTCTGGTTTTAGCACTGAAGTCCCACAGCCTGGACCAGCCCTCAGCCCTGAGGAAACCAGGGCGGTCACTCCAGGACCAGCATCACACAGCTAGGGGGCGAGGCAGGACTGAACCCGTGCATGCAGACTCGAAACCTCGGCCCACTGTGCCAGAGTGGACAGGAGGGCCAGTGTGTCCCCGTGAATCTGTCCCCCAGCGTCACTGGCTCAGCCACCTAGGTCCCTGGACATTTGGCCTGCCTTTGTTCAAGGGCAGTGTCATCTGAGAGCTGTCACTGCAGAAGCTGTGGGGAGGCTCAGGGCCCAGAGGGCCAGCACACAGCCAGAGACAGAGGCTGGGGCGTCTGCGCTCTCAAGCTCCTGGGCCAGCTTCTCGGCCAGCTTGTGGACGGGTGGCCAGTGGGTGAACTCTGCCTCCTGGCATCTGCTCATGGGGACGTGCGTGGGGCCTGGACAGCCGTCAGGGGGCTCCATGCGGTACCCCTTCTCCACAGCCCCTGCCACCTCCTTCCGCCTGGGTTTGTTGAGTGTAGGGGAGGGGTGGATGAAGGCATGCATGGACGGTGGGTAGGGACACAGATTGATGGATCAGTGGTGAGTGGATCAGTGGACCAGTGGATGGAGAGATGGATGAACAGACATCTGGAAGGGTGGATGGATGACATGAGGATGGGTGGGGAGATGGGTAGGTAAGTGGATGGGTTGGTGGATGGATGGATGGGTGGATCAGGAGATGGTGAGTGGATGGATGGACGGACGGATGGATGATTAAGTGGATGGGTGGATGGATGAGTGGATAGGTGAATGGATGGATGGGTGAGTGGACAGGTTAGATGTGTGGGTAGATGGACACGGGTGGATGGATGGATGAATGGATGATGGATGGTGGGTGTATGATTTGTGTGTGGATGAGTAGGTGGATGGGTGGACACATGGGTGGATGGGTGGATGGATGATGGGTGGACAAGACAGGTGGATGGATGGATGGGTGGATGAATGCATGGGTGGAGGATGGGTGTATGGGTGGATGGATGAGTGGATAGATGGATGGATGGATGGGTGGATGATAGATGTGTGGATGGATGGCTGAGTGGATGGATGGAAGGGTGAATGGATGGGTGGATGATGGGTGTGTGGGTAGATGGTCGAGTGGATGATGGGTGTATGGGTGGACGGATGGATAGATGTGTGGATGGATGGCTGAGTGGATGGATGGAAGGGTGAATGGATGGGTGGATGATGGGTGTGTGGGTGGATGGATGGGTGGATGATGGGTGTGTGGGTGGATGAATGAGTGGATAGATGGATGGATGGATGGATGATAGATGTGTGGATGGATGGTTGAGTGGATGGATGCATGGGTGCAGGATGGGTGTGTGGGTGAATGGATGGGTGGATGATGGGTGT